GGTTCCAGTTGACCTTGCTGGTGTGATGTCCAAGGTGGATGGACCAAGGAGCAGGGTGCCCCTGTGCCAGCCACCGCTCATGGGCCTGACCATGCTCCTGCACCTCTCTTACCCCTCTTTGTTTTTTTAGAAGGGTTCTGAGTGACATGCTTAGCATGGAGCAGAAAATGGGAAGAAAGTTCTTTTTTAACGACCATCTTCATCACAAAGGCAAAATTCTTCCCATACCTGAACGGTGTGGAAGGGTTCCAGGAAGGTACCATTTTTATTTAAACTTAGAAAAGAACCTTTGGGGCTGCCCAGGGTTTCCCAACACCTCTTTCACATTTCTAAGCAGTTCTGTCAGCTGCTGCCCTTTTGCAGAAAACCACCATCTGCTTGATCCTTTTGGCCAACAGACCTCCCGTTTCTCTGCACCATCGACAACAGCGGCTCTGCTGACAGGAAGCAGCAGCCTCAGGTCCACTGTGCACCTCAGCACAAAGCTTTTTTACATGCACCCACTTGCAGAAGCCTCATCACCTTGAGGAGCAGAGCAGGCAGGAAATACCAGAGCCTCTGTTTTCCCCTGAGGCCACAGAGGCTGTGAAGGTTTTCTTCAGTGACCCATCTCAGAGCCTCCATTACACCTGCTCTCTGCTGGCAACTTCCGGTTTGCACAAATGAGTAACAGGAAGGCTGTTACCTTCCTATTGTACAGACGGGAGACAGAGTGCTGAGCTGACCTGGAGACCAAAGCCAGATCCGCCTTTGGCCCCTGTGGTTTCAAACAATATTAGTCAAGAACAAACAACCACATGGCATCCATAGCTTTTTATACGTTAGATTTGGACTAGCCCCTGCTGTATTCTCTAGGTCATACTGAGAGAGTGCCAGCTACAGGCACAGAAGGGCAGGAAGCAAAACAATATTGAGTAGATTTTTTTTTTTTTAGACAGGAGAGGTGTGACTTTTTAAGCACAATGCTCCATCCTTTTCCAGAGGAATCCCCAACTGTCAGCCTTAATGTACTAATGCACTGTGACTCCGGGAAAGGAAAGCTTGGCCAGCACATGAAGAGACACATGAAGATACACGTTGATGGAGATGAAGAGAAAAAACTGCACTGAGGGGAGGGAGGTTTACTTTCGGGCCGATGGAGTGGGTAAGAATCATTAAGGGGCACTTGCTGATAAAGGCGGGAAGAGGAAGAAATTCCAAGTCACCATGCCCAGGGTCATGGGAGAGGAGTTGGAAAAATGCTGTAATAGCTAGCTTGCGTGATGGAGGGACCATCTCCAAGGTGAAAGGCTATGTTGGCCTCTCCCCCAGCTTATTTGTTTCTTGGGGGGAAATAACAGAAGTGATTACTCCGCAGATGGTTGTGGGACTCAAATAATACGGTCAATTGAAAAAAGTGCATACCACATTTTGATGGCTGGAAGCCTTTGGTTTATGTTAACTATGGGATAATAAGACCAACAATAACAACAACCACAGTATTAAACACACACACACACACACACACACACAAACCCAACTCTTCCCAAGCCAAGATGATCAGCTGGCTTCCTCATTTCTTCTCCCACACCATGGGGATACCAAGTGCTCTGTCGCTTGGACTGACAAACACAGAGTCACCTTGAACACTCTCTGGGCCATCCTTCATGGTTGACCAGCATGTTCCAATGTACCTCCTGAGATGGTCTCTCTCCCTCAATGGGTCTAAACTCTACCATGTGTTCATAACATTCCAGAGAGTTCCACCAGAGTCCAAGCCTTTATCGCATCTTGTGTGGATTACTGGGATGGAATGACATTCTTGCCTTTCACCATGTATTAATCCATTTTTTATTACCATAATGAAATGTCTGAGGCAAGCTACTTGACAATACAAGAGGCTTATTTTGGTTTTCAGTCCTGGAGGCCCAAGGTCAAGGGCCTGTATTTGGTGATGGCCTTTCGGCTGGCAGACTCAGGGCATCACATGACAAGAGACAGCGAGTGCATGGGCCTCTGTGAGTCTCCTCTGGTCTCTCTCTTCCTATAATGCCACCAGGATTCAATCATGGGGGCACCAGCCTAATGACCTTATCTAATCACTTTTCAAATTTAATCCACCTCTAAACTCCAAGTCGGATAAGATTTCCGCCCTCATGATACCTCACGAGGGGGGGTAAATGGCCACACACAAGCCGTGGGGCTCTCCAACCATTGCACATGATCTTCCCCATCCCAGCATGTCTTGTGCCTGCTGCCGGGAAGCTTCTCCCAGCCTCCGACTTTTCCCATCCCCCTTTCCAGGCATGACCTGTGGAACCTCCCTGTTTTCCACCAAGTCCCCTCCCAACTCATCCCTTGAACCCTCAGGTCTCCTAAGTCACCGATCCAAGGCTCCTTCCCAGCCCCACAGGCTCTTCTTCCTGAACCTTCTGCTCCACAGGCTCTCTGCCTCTACCCCTCACTCTTGCCAAATATCTGTTGACCACTTGCCCATGAGGCTTCTGGTCTAGTCCTGGGATGGACAGTGAACAGAGCAGAGCAGTTTCCCCTGACAAGCCAGAGTCCCCAAAAGCAGGGCTGTTGGCTCTTAGATGCCCACGGTTGGGACGTTCTTCCACTTGCTTGACACATATCCCAGCACCACTAAGTGCCAGCCCCTGTCCTGGGGCAGGGGTGCTGGGAGGAGAGGGGGAGCCGGGCTTGGGGCTTCCTCTTGGAGTTTAGTTCTAGAGGAGGGAAGAGAGCATCAGGGAGGCGCCGATAATGCAAGATGGCGACGGGGACTGAGGATCGGAGCCAGGCGGGGAGAGGGCAGGGGAGGCAGGAGCACCTCTGGGCCCTGACTGGGCTCAGGTGTGTGGTAGGAACTGAGGTGTGTCAGAAATGCCTGTCTGCCTGCTACCCATACCTGCTCCCTGTCTCCACAGCCTGATTCCTAAGGCAACGGGACGTGGAGCCACCAGTGCTCATCCGTTCACTCGTGATGTCACGATGTGGCCAGGTCCCAGGTGCAGCTCTAGCTTGTGAAGCTGCAAAGGTGAATAATGTCCCCTAATGCCATGGCAGGCTGAGTCATGCCCCCATCCCCCAGAAGGTGCCCAGGGCCTGATGCCTGGGACTCAGGAATTTTCTCCTCTACCACAAAAAAAAGGAGGCTTTGCAGATGAGATTCAGATGAGGATCTGGAGTGGGGGGACCATCCTGGCTGATCTGGGCGGCTCACGTGCCAGCATCGGTGTCTACTTAGGAGGGAGGCAGAGGGAGATCTGCGAAGAGAGAAGGCCGCGAGACAGAGGCAGATGGAAGCAGGCAGAGACAAGATGCCCAGCTGCTGATCTGAAGATGAAGGAGGGGGCTGAGAGCCCAGGGAACGCTGCTGCAGATGCTGACCGAGGCCAGGAGACCATCCTCCCCCAGGGCGCCGGGGGTGCCGTCTTCCTGCACCTCACCCCCTGAGGCCCTCCTCGGACAGCTGGCACAAACTGCAGCACAGCTCAGCCGGCCTCCAGGTGGTTCAGCACCATCTGCACACACCGTGGCATCAGGCCATGGAATTCTTCTCAGGTTCCCCACCATCCTGACCCAGAGGCTGCACAGAGAGCAGCATGGCCTTTTAAAGACTCAGTTACAGCAGCCATGCCGCCTGGACTCTCCAGGAGCTCACTACCCCACCCAGAACACAGTCTTTAAGAAACCACACAACTCGTACCTGGGGACAAGCAGACACCCACCAGACAGGACGGCTTTCCTAGGGAAGGCTTTTCTCCAGGGCAGGACTTCAGCCTCTGCTCCACACTGTGGGCAGCAGGGAAGAGTGAAAGTAGCCTAGTACTCCAGCCACAGCTCCCACCCATGAAGCCCGATGCTCTGTGGGTGGGACCATAAACGCATACATGTTTACAAAGCTCTCAGAGGGTTCCCATGCGCAGTTTTGAGAAGCACGGGTGTCAGGCCAGCCGCTTCCCAGGGAATCTGAGTTGGGGTGCCCCGGGTGTGGCTTCTATGAAGGACATTCTGAGATGAGCCATCATTTCTATTCTGTTCCCCCAAACAGATGTGTTCATAAATATGGGCTGTTGGCCCCTTGAACAGTTGCCAGGAAGCCCTGTCCTTTCTGTTTGTGTCCCCTTCCCCCACACCCATTGCCCTGCTAATTGGTACCATAGTCTCCCAATCGACCTTCCACTCTGTCCCTGTCATTGGCTCAAGAAACAGATCATGGCATGCCACTCATTCCTCTAAAGCCCTCTCTGGCTCCCCAGTGCTCCCCGGACTCTCCAAGTCCCTTGGTTTGTCTTCACAGCTGCTGAGCAGGGCTCCGCTCCATCCTAGTGTGTGCTGGCTCTCTCTGAATCTGCCCTGCCCTCACCCACCTCCAGGTCTTGCTTTAGCTGTTCCCTCTACCTGGAATGAACCTCTCTCCAAAGTCTTCCTATCAAAGTCTTGCTCAAATCCTTTCTCCTACAACTATCCGTCCAGATTCCTCTGTCAGATCCTTTACTCCCTTCTCTACTCTCAAAGAACGCGACCGGAAGTCTTTGCTGAGGTCTATCCATTACCTGTGCAGGTGTTTGCTCCCTCAGTGGGGAAAGAGCTTACTTTGAGCCAAGACCTTGTCTTTGTCATCACTGTGTCTTCCACGTGCTGAGCAGGGGGCCGGCTCTGCAGGCGCTCAGTCAGCACCTGCTGAACGTCAACCACTTGCCATGACTTCACCTCTCCCCAGCACACGCCCTTTGGCCTGTTGCCATGTGCAGAGGTCGGGCCCACCAAGAACCTCATTCAGCAATTATTGGACTTGAAGGGGAACGCAGACCAAGTCCCATCCCAGTCAGTTTAACTTACTCCAAATTGGTCTTGGAGTAAAGACCCTAATCTCAAGTGCCGAGAAGCCAGTCAGACATTGAGACTGCTTTTTTACAGCCAACTGGGACAATTCCAATGGGATCCCTCTTTTCCTCTCTAGGAGTTCTTATTACAGCTGACAGTCATCTTCTCTATATTTTTCTTAATAATAGGATGGTGCCCACTCCCTTTCAAAGGCGTTGATCTCCTGTATTCTTAGCAGCAGAGGTGATTACAGCAGTAACTGTGAGACTCCCAACACCTTGGATACCACATCCCAAGACATGCAAGTATCCAGTCACTTAGGATCAAGGGCCACAAAATATGGGGTATGTTGTATCTTCTGCTTTCTGTCTGGTCACTGGCTGTTCATTGTCTGGTCAACAAGTTCATTCATTCATTCATTCATTCATCCATCCATCCATCAAATAAAATATGTAATGAGGTCCGGTTTGGGGACTCCTGCACTCTGGATCTTATATTTTAGAGGACACCCTGATTTTACCTAGGCCTGGATTATGACCCTGAGAGAGAGACTAGAAAAGAGATGGCATGAGATCAGGCTTTGATCTTACAAGATATATCCAAGTCTTAACCCCCAGCTCCTCAAAATTTAAGTGTATATGAAAATAAGGTCTTTATAGAGGTAACCAAGTTAAAACCAAGTTATAGAGGTAACCAAGTTATTGGACTAGAGTGAGCCCTAGCCCAATATGACTAGTGTCCTTGTAAAAAGGGGAAACTTGGATGCAGAGATAGATAAACAGAGAAAGAAGATGATGTGTAGAGACAGGGAGAAGATGGCAGCTATAAAACATTTTCAGAAGCTAGGAGACGGGTGTGGAAAGATCCTCGTCTAAGACTTTGGAAGGAGCAGGGCCCTGTGGGCCCCTTGATTTTGAACTTCTAGCCTTTATACTGGGAGACTACAAACTTCTTCCCAGCTTGTACTTTGTTTTGGCCACGGTGAGAAATTCATATGCCACCCAGAGCCTCCTTGGAGTCAGCAGCTGGACCACCCAGAGGCCGCCATGCTGTAGGAAGCCCAAGCCACCTACGTGGAGAGATAGGTGCTCAGCCAGTGCCGGATATTCTAGCCCCATCTCAGCTGAGGTCTCCCAGACAAACTGGAGTGTAGATGAGCCATGACTACTGCAGTCTGATCTACTCAGAGTTTTAAGATATGATAACCACACATTTCTGTTTGCAAATCCAAGTTCTGGTGCAGTTTTATGCAGCTGAATTTAAACAGAGCGGAGGGGACCTAAGAGTCCGACCAGGAGCTTGAGGAGATGCTCTGTGTCTGGACTTGGAATCTGACAAGGCCTGAGAGATGCTGAGGAAAGGTTGAGGGGCAGGAGGAGCCTCCTGGCCGACTCTGTTAGGGGGATAACAGGCAGAGGCCCAGCAGCGCCCCCCAATACTACTGAGAACAGCTCTGTGCCAGGTGGTCCTGGGGTCTTACTTTACCACCCCTTGGAAGTTTCACAGATATGGAAACTGAAGCACTGAGACAATGACTAACGCACCCAAGGACCAGAGCTAGTACGCGGCAGAGTTGGAAATTCAGACGGAAGCTCCTAAGGCTGGGTTTTTTGAAAGAAGCCAAAGGAATCAAAGCTGGGGTGACTTGACCCAAGAAGCAGGGCAGAGGACACAGGAGGAAGGCCTTCAAAGGAACCAAAGTGAAGCCCAATTATTCCAAGGAATCCTCAAAATGGCTGCCACATGGTTCACCTGGCAAGCCTAGAAGGTTCTAGCCACCAACCTGCAGATCTAACAGCTTCTTGATTCCGCAGGAGCAATGGCTGTGCAATGCTCTGCCAAGAGTTTTCTGCAGGACTGAGAGATTGACTCTCGACAAGCCCCAACATCTGCTGACTTTGTACATGGATATATTTAGGGGGAGAAGAGTTTTTCTTTCAGTTTCGTAACACTTTAAAAAAAAAAAAATCCCGCCTGTCTTATTTTTTTTTCCCTTTCTTTCTTTTTTTTATGGACTCATAAGTGATGTTGCCATTCTTTCCATAGCAACACACTAGGAGACTGGCTCTGTTTTGCTGGGAGAATTCTAAGGAGGACTCGGGAGGCAGGAGAAGAAAATGTTGGGTGGCGTTGGGAGACATTTCTAAAATGTCAACACCCAAGACCAGTGCGGGAGTCACTCCCGTCACTCTAGTAGACAGACCTGCCAGGGTCATCTCAGCTGTCTGCTCCCGTCCTGCACGGAGGGGATGGCTTCTGCATTAATGCGGAAGGTTCTGGAGGCCTGGTGTATTTGCTCCCAATCTCTCATGGCCCTGGCCCCTCCGCTCTTTCTGCAGTTCTCCCTTTTTTCGATTCTCTTTCAACCTTTCCATGACACGGGGAGTCGGCTTCAACGAGGAGACTGTCCGTCCTCACCGCTTCCTGTTAGTATCAGTTCATCTCTATTTTTCCAGCTTTGTTGAGGTGTAATTGACAAATGAGGATGGTTTGTATTTAATGTGTACGACTTGCTGTTTTGATAAAGGTACACACTGTGACATAGTGCCACACTGACACTGACCAACACAGCCATCCTCTCATAGAGTCACCACCGGCATTAAGATCTGTGGGTCCAGACCCTGGGGGAAGTGGAGGTGGGGAGGGAAGGAGGAAAGCCAGCGTGTGCCTCTGGTTTTTCTCCTATCCCCTCCCCTACTCCACCTGGCCAGCTCTTTGACACAAGTCATCTCCTTTTACCCTCTCGATGTCCCTATGGCAGGGACACTCCTATCTCTATCTCCTTAGGAGATTTTCTGAATCCGAACCCGAGAATCCAGAAGGTACCAGCTCTAAAAGCAGGCAGCTGGTTGTAAAGGTCAGTGTCTGAGGTTTGGTACCGTCCACTCTGCCTCCGTGGAGCCCAGCCAACTGGGCCTGCAGACCAGAAGCCAGCACCTCCCCTTGGGGTGACACGTGTCCATCAGATCAATCCTGCCCTTGTTCTCCCAACATGACCTCCTGCCTCTCATTTCTATCCTCCGAGAGCCTGCTGCAGTGAACTGGGGGGCATGTGGCACACAGAGACAGGAAGTCATGCAAAAATAACATTTCTGAAGACGACGCAATGACACACAAACAAACAGTAAAAACTGAAACTACCACAGGGCGTAGGATTCCATGTATGTGACATTGGGGGAAGGTGACAGCACAGAGACAGAAATCAGTGGTTTCCAGAGGCTGAGGGTGGGGGAGGACTGGAAAGAGCACAAGGGAATTTGAGAGATGATGAGATGGTTTTCTATCTTGATTTTGGCAGTAGTTGTCCAACTACATGGTTTAAAAAACTCATAGAATTATACAAAAAAAACCAGCACATTTTGTGGTATGTAACGTATTCCTTGATTTTAAAAAAGTAAAAAAAGAAAAGAAAAAAATCCCCACACTCCAAAACTTCAAACCCTTGGATACATGTGACAGTATATTTGATAATCCCGACTGTTGTAAAACGAGTTGTTAACATATAATTGACAAATAAGTAAAAATTGTATGGTCATCCTGGGGTATCTGCGGATAACTGGTTCCAGGACCCCTCATGGATACCAAAATCTGTAGATGTTGAAGGTCCATATATAAAAAGGTGCAGTATTTGCATAAATCCTACACATAACCTTCCGTTCACGTCTAGATTACTTGTAAGACCAAACCCACTATAAATGCTATGTAAGTACTCATACTTAAATTGTTTAGGAAATGATGACAAGAAAAATAAGCCTGTACATGTTCAACATAGATGCGATTTTCTTTTGGAATATTTTTGAGCCACAGTTGGTTGAATCCATGGACACGGAACCCAAGGATATAAATGCTGTTTGCACATCTTTAAGATACACAGCCTGAGGCCTCTCAAGCTACAACAGGAACATTTACAAAGACACGCAGATGATGTTAACACTGGCCATCGACAGGTGTAGGCATTACTTATGATTTTTATTTTCTTTTTCCACAATTTCTACAATAATGTGGATTATTCACTTTAGAATCAGAAAAATGGTTTTACTTTGATTTAGGGGAGAAAATCTTGGACATGCCACAAATCTCAACCCAGAGGCAAAATCTGACAACATCAATCACTTCTGAGGGTTGTCACTATGATTCAATCAGACAATGGATACGAAAGTACTTCATACATTTCAAGATGAAGCTACACAAAGATGCAGCTTGACTAGTAATTACAAGCATCTTCTCAGAGCTGAGAATTTCTTCCTTTCTTTTTTTGGTACCAGGAATTGAACCCAGGGGTGCTTTTCCACTGAGTCACATCCCCAGCCCCTTTTTATGTTTTACTTTGAGACAGGGTCTCACTAAGTTGCTTAGGGCATTGCTAAATTGCTGTGGCTGGCTTTGAACTTGCAGTCCTCCTACCTTGGCCTCCCAAGCCACTCTATCATTTCTTAATCCAGTGGTGTCCAATCATGGTGGCAAGACATGCTCATGTTAGTAAGAGCTTAGAGTTAGCATATGATTGTGTGTGAGGGGGAGAGAGAGAGAGAGAGAGGGAGAGAGAGAGAGAGAGAGAGAGAGAGAGATAATATGAGCTAGCACTCAATAAATACATGTAAAATAAATGTTATGCTATGCCCCACGTGTGATAGCAAAAAAAAAAAAAAAAAAAGAAAAAAAGAAACAAAAACCACATTCCTAGAACAAATGCCTTCCTCAGGCTGCTATCAGGTAGATCTTTGAACCTGTCAATCATACTCTGTGCCCTGATTGTAAATCCAGCATGTTGCCAAAGGAACATTTGAGGAAAGTTAAGCTGTGCACCTCAATCAGCCAACCATCCAAGGAGCAGAGATGAGCAATGAATGCACAGCGGCAAGTGCAAGAGTTAACTGGACTAATGGAGAGTTTAGTGTGAAATGTGGTAGTGGGCTGCGGATTGAGAGGACTTTCTTAGTTGGTGTGTGGCGGGGGGTGGGGGGGTGGGGGGGGACTACAGCAGAACCCCTAAGGCCAGGAAGCAATCGATGTTATTCCAAGGGGAAGAGTTTGGGGCAAAGGTTAGCAAACCGTGGCCCGCCTCCTGTGTTGTAAATAAAGTTTTATTGAAACACAGCCATGTTTATGATAGTTTCACACATCAGCAACAAAGTTGAATAGCAGCAACAGAGACCTTCCAACTGGTTCAGCCTAAACTATTTACAAATGAGCCCTTTTCAGAAAAAGTTGGCTGACCCCTAGTCCAGGCAAAGACACCAAAGACTAAGGAAACTGTGGTCTTTGCTGAGAAGCAGGTGGGATGTGACCTGAGTTTAAGAGAAGCAGTGGGATGGGATGGCAGAACTTGTTGAAAAGACAGAGG